TGTTTTTTTTGGTTTTTCTCCGGTACCGGGAACCGAACTCACAACCTTGCACTTGCCAGGCAGGCGCTTTTGCCGCTGAGCTAAATCCCCAGCCCCTGGTCTTATTTTTGATTACTAAAAATTCAGGGCTTTCCCCTAGGGATATATAATAATTACAGGCTTCAGTAAATTTCAACATGAGCAGCAATGAATGAAGCAGGATAAAGCACAAAGGAAAAAATCAGAGTGGCTGCCTTTCTCCTGGGGAGGGTGGAGGATGCAAAGTATTTATGTTGTTTAAAGTGATGGGAGATTAACTCCATTGGAAAGATTGTGAAAGTGGAAAATAAAATCCAGATGCTTTTCTTTTTCATATTTGTTTATTAATGGATTGTGCTTGGGGGTATTTGTATACTTATTTGCACATTGACACGTTAGAATGTTGGTATACTTATTGGCTGTAGATTTGGTTTTTTTTTTTGGTTTTTCTCCGGTACTGGGAACCGAACTTACGACCTTGCACTTGCCAGGCAGGTGCTTTGCCGCTGAGCTAAATCCCCAGCCCCTATTGGCTGTAGATTTGTATTTATATCAGATACTCTATATGCGGCTTTTATTTTACTGAGTGTAGTGAGGCATCCCAGGCAGGCTGTTAGAACTAGGTATATTTATGCGTAAATAACCTGTTTTATGAGCAAACATTTATTTGATCATGTACGTTTTACTGGTTGCTCCATTGGCACATTTTCTATGTATGTTTCTGTGTGTAAATATTTATCAGACAAGGTTGGCTTGTGAAGGAGGCCGTGCGGGTCTCAGCCTGGTGTGAGTGAGCTGCAAGGCATCTGGAGACCTAGTGGGGTGCGGCCTTCCGGGAGGCTCCTCGGTCTCCCGTCAGTGCCAGTGGCGTGCAGGCGTGGAGGCTTCCGTACACACTGCGCTCACTAGCGAGGGTCGGGGTGTGACGTGTGCACCCTTTTTCACTGGGCTTTGTCATCCTGAGACGGGATGCTGAGCTGTCCTTTCTGAGTATTTCTCTTGTCCCTACTCCTCCTCCTATTAATGAACAGACCTTTGAGAGTCTAGGGTGACTCATTTTTGTCAGCTCAAGAAGCTTTGTTGGAATGAAAACAACAGATGTGTTTGTAGCATTTGTTTCCCGAAGAAAAAATACTAAAAGACGTGTCTTTTTTAAATGTAGGACTTAACTCTGTGGTTTTTTAAAGATCATGCGCAAGGCCAGCACTCCTAATTTTCAAGGCTAACACTCTTAATTTTCAATCCCAGGGAGACTTCTATTTTATTCTATTTTATTTTTCTGTTGTCCCTGCTGGATATGAATATTTCTTCAGTCTCGGACAGCCTTGAACACCTTCTTACTTTCTCTGATTCAGGGAATTGGCTCGGGAGAAGGTAATGCGAGAAGTGAAAGCCTTAGCCAAACTTGAGCACCCAGGAATCGTGAGGTATTTCAATGCCTGGCTGGAAGCACCCCCGGAGAAGTGGCAAGAAAAGATGGATGAAATCTGGCTGAAAGACGAAAGGTAACTTCAGACTTTAAAAACGGCTCTTTCCTGTTAGGCTTTTTGTTTCTGTGGACCCAATGTCATTTCTGTGACTTTAGAAAAAGCACTGCAGGCCCGTGCTCTAAGTCATGTCTTAGAATGCTCTCTGCCCACTTTGTAAGCGACGTTCACGTAGCGATGCTCACGTAGTGACATTCGTGTAGTTTTTGAGGACAGAAGTTTTCAAAAGTATCGATCAGCAGTGTTGTGTGACTATGCTTGAGGGAGCCCCCTCTCAGCCAGAGGTGTTGTCTGCTTCTGTTTGTTTCCGTCTTTAAGTTTTTATTTAGTTTTTCTCTTAGCAGTTAACAGCTTCCAACTCCCTTTCAAGTAGCTTTATATTTGCAGTTAAAGATGACCTTAGGTAGCTGGATAGCCTTGCCACGTCGTGCTAGAGAAAGGAGGCCCCGTGGAAGCTGCCTCAGAGCCTTGCGAGGAAGCAGGCGCAGGCGCAGGCAGACTGCGGGCGACTGCGGGGAGCTTCTGCGTGTGGTTCGGGCCTGCTGAGGTGGCCGACGACAATGACCGTAAGGTGCACTCCTTGACCTTCGTCTCAGGGACCTGTGAGCTACTCTACCTAGACGGGGACTTCAGAATCAGAGCCACCAGGGAGTCCTACCCTTGGTGTTGTTCAGGCCTCTGTGTTTTGTACTGCAAGCCTTGGTTCCTCTGATGTGATCATCCCAGATAGCTGTTTTGAGTGTAAATTAATCTTTCAAATCAGGGTGTTCTAGAAGGAGTGGATGTGTTTTGTGGTTTGTCATTCAGTAACTGGTTTTACTGTAGGTGAAGCTTTTGAAACAGAAGGTGGACCAGAGATATAGCTCATGGGGCGGAGGATTTAGCTCAGTGGCACAGCACCTGCCTGGCAAGCACAAGGTCCTGAGTTCGATTGCCGGTACCGGAAAAAAAAAAAATGCGGACAATAACTGCATCTCAGATAACTTAGCACGTGTTTACTGTCCTGTCTTTGTGTTTCTCCTGTTTTTAGCACAGACTGGCCGCTCAGCTCTCTCAGCCCAATGGATGCACCATCTGTTAAAATACGCACGATGGATCCATTCTCCACAAAAGAGCATATTGAAATCATAGCTCCTTCGCCACAGAGAAGCGGGTCTTTTTCTGTGGGGATTTCCTGTGGCCAGACGAGCTCCTCCGAGAGCCAGTTCTCTCCCCTGGAACTGTTAGGAACAGACCACGGAGACAGCAGTGGGTCAGCGGATGCCGCGAACAACCTGCAGGACAGCTGCCTCGCAGACTGCGGCGTGGAAGATGGCACCATGGACGGCAATGACGAGGGGCACTCTTTTGAGCTCTGTCCTTCTGAAGCTTCTCCCTACGTGAGGTCAAGGGAGACCTCGTCTTCCATCGTGTTTGAGGATTCTGGCTGTGATAATGCATCCAGTAAAGAAGAGCTCAAAACTAACCGGGTGCATATCGGCAACCATTGTGCTAATAAATTCACTGCCTTCAAGTACTCCAGCAGCAAGTCTTCTTTGGAAGCCACCCTGTCTGTTTCTCCACCAAGGCCGACCACCCTAAGTTTAGATCTCACTAAGAACACTGCGGACAAACTCCAGCCCAGCTCGCCGAAGGTGTATCTTTACATTCAGATGCAGCTGTGCAGAAAGGAAAACCTCAAAGACTGGATGAACCAGCGGTGCACGCTGGAGGAGCGGGAGCGCGGCGCGTGTCTGCACATCTTCCTGCAGATCGCCGAGGCCGTGGAGTTTCTGCACAGTAAAGGGCTCATGCACAGGGACCTCAAGGTGCGTGGTTTCCACGGGATGCCTGGGGGGTCAGAGCAGCACTTCCAGCACTGGCCAGATTTTCACCAGAGAGCGCTGAGGAGGGTGCGAGTGAAAGCACCAGGGAGAGGAGCTGAGACAGTGGTGTGCTGAGGGAGTAAGTCACACTCACACACTTCATGCGAGTCATTCGGTCCTCCCTGTAGCGTGCTGATGTTCATTTTACTCTAAGTAATGTTCGCAGTGGTCCTTATGGGCAGGGTCGGGGGGAGTCCTTATGTAAAATCCACCATGAGCAGTCATTCTGCTTTTCCTGAAACCCTGATACAAGCACCCCTGCTGCGCTTTCTGGATAGAGAAAGGTAATAAATGAGACTGCCAGGTAACTGTAGCTTTAAAACCTTCCATTGCATTTTTATTGTGTACAGTACTGAAAAGTATAGTGATACAGCATACTAAGGGATGTAAAATTCTTTAAAAACTCACAGCATTTCCTTGGTATGTTTGTAAAATAAGTACACAGAACTTTGATTTAATTAATTTCTGCCATTCACGTGCAAATAGTGGCCACTGTATATAGGTGGTGAATGTGTAAATGTTTCTTTCTGATGAAAGTAGCTTAAGTTGTTGGCAGATTTGGATTCGTTTTAAATATTTTCAGTTTTATTTATGTTGCCACAAAGTTTTGCCTCAGGTACCAGCGTAGCTATTTGGTCAAACGTTACGTTATTTTCTTCTAAAATCGTCAGTTGATTTTTAAACTTTGGAGTATATTTTAAGAGTCTTAGGTAGTTCCTATTTTCCGGTATAATTTTTAGTTGTATATAATTGCTGCACTTCATTGATTTTGGTTTGATTACAATTGGTTGCTGGGAATTGTGCGTTAAATGAAAAGTTCAGAGATGACTTATTTCTGTGGGAACGGAGAAGACAGCTTACAGGAGACCAGACCCCTTGAACTTGAGAGGATCCTGGCTGCTCAGGTTTGAAAACAGTGAACATTCATCATTTGGTAGAAGACAGCTCACTGATGTGTACATTCTTGCTTGCCGTACACTCATGCCAAGTTGGAAGACAATATAGTCTGGCCTGGTGGCACACACCTGTAATCCCAGCACTCAGGAGGCTGAAGCAGGAGGATCGTTGTGAGTTTGAGACCAGCCTGGGCTACAAAGTGAGCTCAAGGCCAGCCTGAACTGCATAGTGAGACCCTGTCTCAAAAACACCAAAAAAAAAAAAAAAGACAATTATAATTATGTTTTCACTAACAGTGAATATTCTGCTGCTAATTTTATAATGTAAATGAGACATTTGTGAAATTTGTTCAATGTGATAATGTTGTCTAAAGATTTTTCTGACCAGGTGTGGTGGTATACGCCTTTAATCCCAGCACTCAGGAGGCTGAGGCAGGAGGATCTTTGAGAGTTTGAGACCAGCCTGCACTACGAAGTGAGCTCAAGGCCAGCCAGAACTGCAGAGCAAGATCCTGTCTCAAAAAAAAAAAAAAGACAAAACCAAAAAGAGATGTTTATTTCATTCATCATCAAATAGTGATTAGCTGCCATGGAGGAAGAACTGTACTTGTTACTAGACATGGCAGTGAAATAAAAGATGTTTTTCTTGCTGGGCGTAGTGGCGCATACCTCTAGTCCTAGCACTCAGGAGCCTGAGGCAGGAGGATCTCTGAGTTCGATACCAGCCAGAGCTACATAAGTGAGTTCAAGGCCAGCCTGACCTTGCTTCCAAAAGAAAACAAAACAAAACATCCCTTTCTCACAGAGCCAGGCTGCTCTACCACTTACTTGCTGGGGAACCCTGGGCAATTCGTTTAATGTCTGGGCCTCAGTTTCCATGTCTGTAAAATGGGGCATGAGTGGTACCATGCTCAAGGGATTGTATTACATGAGTTACCAGTAAACTGCTCAAAATAGTACCTGACACATTATAAGCACTCTGTATGCATTTTCCATTTCCTATTATAATTATTATGGTTTAAACTATAAATGTAGAGGAGATTACCCAGAGAAAGGATGCAGAATAAAAAGATTGAGGATTTTCTATGCTGGATATTAGGGAGTGTGGGTTTCTAAGACGTTGAAGAGGTCCACCTCTTTCTGCCGCCCTTCCCTTTCCACAGTGCTTATCTGGCATAGAAAACCTTTTTATTTTCCTGTTAGCCAATTCTAGAGAGAGATGTCCTTGACGATGTCTAGTTTCCGTGTTTCTTTTCTGAACTCGTTCAAATCACTCTCTCTCCCTCCTCTACACATGATCGTTGTACTTCACCTGTGCTATCTTCTCCAGCCTTCCAACATCTTCTTCACAATGGATGACGTGGTCAAGGTCGGAGACTTTGGGTTGGTGACTGCCATGGACCAGGATGAGGAAGAGCAGACGGTTCTCACGCCCATGCCAGCCTATGCCACGCACACGGGGCAAGTGGGGACCAAACTGTACATGAGCCCGGAGCAGGTGAGTGTCTCAGACAGCAGTTAGCAGGGCAGGGACCTACCTGTGCCTGCCGAACCTCCCACCGTGTTCATATTGAAACGCCCAGGATAAAGTCAGAAAGTTGTGGAACTCGGCAGTAATGAGCCACAGGCAACACAACTCGGTCTGAATTGGGGTTGGATGGAGAATGGAGAAAAATACAGCACGGGAAACATGCTCTCACCACCTGAACCGGCACCTGGCGGCAGCAGGACGGTTAGAACAAGACTTTGAATGTCACCCTCCTAAGTTTTGTCCAGCTCACCCTGGGTGGGCTGCATAGAACCTGGCTGGAGAGCCAGCTAGCATCAGAGACCTTGTCCTGAGTGGCGCTCTGTGGTCGTTCACAGGCAGCTCCCAGAAAGTCGCATGACAGGATATAGAGATGTGTAGATGAGAAACACTGCGTTGGGGAAGCTCTGTCCACAGAGCACAAGTGCTGTCCACTGGGTGCGGCCTAGAGGTGCGGCAGTAGGCATTGCGGCTGCCTCGCCCAGCCTCTCGGCTCAGGTCCGCAGGCTCCATTCCTTGGGTCTCAGTGTCTGTTTACACTTTTAAAATGATGGAGAACCTACCAGTTTTTCTTAGAGAATTTTATCTATCAGTATTTGCCCTGTTAGAAATTAAAATTGACCCCTGGGAGATAGCTCAGTGGCACAGCGCCTGCCTGGCAAGTGTAAGGTCCTGAGTTCGATTCCTGGTTATCCCCCACAAAAGGAAATTAAAATTGACAAATTTATAAAGCTTTAGTAATTCATTGTGAAAAGTATTTTCCAAAACAACAAAAAGGAGTGGCATTTACAGTTTTTGCAAATCTCTTTTTAGAAAAGCTAGATGTCGTATCTGCTTTTGTATTAAATCCATTGTAATATATTTGCTGAGATACATGAAGAAAATCTGGGTCCATACAGATAGGTAGTTGGAAACAGGAGCAATATTCATTTCAGGTAATCATAGATACTCTTCCTTGATAGTACATCAAAATTCACTGTGATCATTTCTTAAAAGTTGTTCCCATTGTGGGATCTAAAAGCTCTAAGCAGCCAGGCGTGGTGGTGCACACCTGTAATCCCAGCACTCAGGAGGCTGAGGCAGGAGGATCGTTTCAAGTTCGAGACCAGCCTGGGCTACAAAGTGAGCTCAAAGCCAGCCTGAACTGCATAGCAAGACCCTGTCACAAAAATACAAAAAAAAAAAAAATAAATAATAATTAATTAATTAAAAAATAAATAAAAGCTCTAAGCCAGGTGTGGGGGTGTACACCTATAATCCCAGCACTTGGGAGGCTGAGGCAGGAGGATAACTGGGGCCAGCCTGGGCTACAAAGTGAGTTCAAAACATCCTGAACTACATAGTGAAACCCTGTCTCAGACCAAAAAATAATTAATTAATTAATTGAAAGTAAAGCTCATTTGTCCTCTGTTACTTCACTGTCGCATGGTTTTTGCATGGATTTTTCACTCAGTCATATTGTGTAACATTATGCATGGTCCCTTGGAAACTCTTGGTTCCCTAACTTAGGCAATTCTCTGAAGTTGTCATATTTTATTATATAGATCAGAAAATCACATTGGTTAAAATCACCATGAGTCAGCCAGGCATGGTGGTGCACCTGTAATCCCAGCACTTGGGAGGCAGGAGGATCGTTGTGAGTTTGAGACCAGCCTGGGCTACAAAGTGAGCTCATGACCGGCCTGAACTGCATAGTGAGATCCTGCCTCCAAAAGACAAAAAAAAAAAAAAAAAGACCAATCACCATGAGTCTTGCCACAGAGGCCTTTCAAGTTGGGAGACTCTGGAATACCCTAATGGATGCAGATTTTTCAAAATTGTAATTTTCACTTAAATGCTCAGCTTTTATCATTAGCAACAAATATTGTCAGTTTTCCTTACAGAGCTGTTTGCACATTGCTCATCTTTCTTAAAATGTGAAGTGTCTGGGTCCGAATAAGTGCAGTCTGTCCTCAGCCGTTCTGTCACTCAGAGTGGCATCCTGGGAACAGAACAGCTGGCAAACGTTGCATCCGGGAACACGCAAGTGCTTTCATGTCACACAGCACTGTGATGTGAGGAAGCTGAAATGCTTTAGGAATAGTTTCTACCTTGCCGCACAGGTTAGTAAAAAGATGTATATTGAAGGGGTAAGATTTAATACTTTGGGGGCCAGGCATGGTGCGCGTGCCAGCGTAGTACTTGGGAGGCAGAGGCAGGAGGATCGTGAGTTCGAGGGCAGCCTGAGTTACATAATGGGACCCTGTCTCAGAAAAACAAAATAACAATCTTGACTGCTCAGTAAGGACATTGTAAGTGAAATGTGCTTTCCTCGGTGTGTTGGTTTGGGGCTTATTTTGCAAGGGAGAATAATATAATACAGGACACCTATTTTATATGATTATTTATAATAGTCACCTAAGGAACAATATACAAAAGAGTGCAGGAAATCTGTCCACATACTGTAGACCAAGAAATCTAGCTGAGGGCCTGGATCCTGCAATAATGTCCTGCATGAGTCCAGCTGAAGACCTAGAGCTCATAACAGTGCCTCCTACGAGTCCAACTGGAGGCCCAGAGCCCACGACAACATCTTATATAGGCCTGTTTCACAGATCTGACTGGGAAGGCCAGAGGTCAGTGCTGGAATCCAGAAGGTCTGTGTCAGCGGGATGAAGGATCTGTGTTAGCAGGCTGAGAAATCTACACTGGAGCCAGGAAGCGATGCTCGAAGTAAGAAGTAGAACTCCTCTGATGGGTACCACAGCCATCCTCAGCAACAGTGAGGTCCCAAGCTCCTCTGAAGATCAGGAAAGCCGAGTTCCCATCAGGGAAGCCAACGCAGCAAGCTTCTGCAGGACACTGGCAGTGTACCATCTTCCCCTCCAAAGCCAGGAGGCGATGCTCAGAGTGAGGACCAGAGCTCCCCCAAAGTGAACCGAACCATTCTCAGTGCCAACGAGGTCCCGAGCTCCTCAGAGGATGAAAACAGCCGAGTTCATCAGGAAAGCCGGCACGATGAGCTCATCAAAACAACCAACAGCTCCTTACAGCGTCCACCAGCTCCTACAGCCTTTCTCTGCTCCCGACAGCCTCTCAGCTCCCACCAGCCTCCTTCTCCTTCTCCAGGTCTGCCTCTTATGCTGCAGGCAGCAATCCCCAGGTGGGCCTCCCACACCCAGCACCACGCTTACTCCGTTCAGGGGAGGTTATAGGTTGACCACCAGTTGCCAGTCCCCTACACTGGGGTATTTTTAACCTGTGACATTGCACAGTATAATTCTTACTAATGCAGCTGGCACCCCACCTAGATTCACACTCAGACGCATCACTCAACACAGTGAAAAGACAAGTCCTGTCTTCGTGTTTGTATGAAAGGAGTTTGATCTCACGGCTCCCCCGAAGGGGTACGAGGCTTTCGGGGGATCTCAGACCACACCGTGAGAACCACGGGACTAGACCAGCTTTAACGGTTGTGTCAGAGACCAACAATAAGGCTGGTTTGGAGGAGCAGGACTATATTTTATTGATCTACAGTGTCCTTCTGAAGTACCTGAACTGTTCACATTATTCAGATGTCTCTTTCTCATGTTTTAAATATTTTTAATTTAAAAAGCGTTTTAGGGGCTGGGGATTTAGCTCAGCGGCAAAGCACCTGCCTGGCAAGCGCAAGCTCGTGAGTTTGGTTCCTGGTACCGGAGAAAAACCAAGACAAAAAAAAAGCGTTTTAAAGAACCCTAAGCTTAAACATCTTAAATTTCAAATGATACAGTATTTAGGTAGGGAAAACACAAATTGTACGTGCGGTGCTTGTGTTCTGTAGTACTGCACCCTGCAGCGTATAGTTTGGAAGAAAAATAGCCGAGACCCAGAGCCTTGTACCTGGCCACATAAGGTGCACACGAAAACAGAAGTTTCGGGTAGACTTGGTGTGCCGGCGGGGAGGCACTGAGGCCTCAGCGGCAGCGATGGCGGCAGCGACGTCCCAGCAGGGGGACGCCATGAGCAAAGCCAGCCCGGCTTTCAAAAAGATCTGACGCTGCTGGAGAAAAGGAAAGATTACCACCTCCGTGCAGATGACCATCATAAAAAACAAGAATTCATCAGAGCTCTTCAGAACAAGGCTCTTGAAAAAAAATCCAGAAGAATTCTATTATAAAATGGCTCACATTGGGGGCTGGGGATTTAGCTCAGCAGCACAGTGCCTGCCTGCCTGGCAAGCTCGAGGTTGTGAGTTCGATTCCCGGAACCGGGGGGGGGAAAGGCTCACATTAAGCTCCTGGATGGAGTTGATGTTATTAAGGACATTAAGGAAGGAGTAACTCCAGAACAGCTAAGGTTAGTGAGGACTCCGGTGTCACACATACAGGAATGAAAAGGGTTGCGGAAGCTAAGAAAATTGAAAGACCGAAGTCAGAGCCCCATCTGCTGGGCATCCAGGGGAAGCAACAGAATAAGCGTGTGTTCTTTCTTGACACCAGAAAGGAGCAGTTTGATAGTGCCACTCCCCTGCACACAGCCTCGGAACTAGTTGAGCATCTGTAACAGACCCAAGACAGACCTTCCAGAAGGAAAAGTGGAAGGAGTTTACCCGTCAGACTCACGGCAGTGGACAGCAAAGGACAGACAAAAGCAGGATGACTGCCTGACAAGGCAGACTGACCTAGAGAAAAGAGGCTGTTCCTCATTGCACAGAAAATTCAAATGCGCAGAGATCTTACGGCTAAAACTCAGAAGGGGAAGGGGAAGAAAGAGACGGTGAACACCCGAGCCATTCACAAGTTTGAGAGTTGTGGGAAGCCATGAAGTGTTAACCATTCTGCATCGAAGAGAATTCCATTTTTGGCAATAACTTCAGATTCCATCCGTTCAGATGGCATGGTTTTCCTGTTTATAACCATGATTTATCGTTGATCTAATATTGCATGTCTTTCTATGACCAGTATCAAAACCCCTCCCCCCACCCATGTCATTGGTTTTGGTTTGTGAAA